CCTCGCTCGGACGGGGACGAATGCTTGGTTGTCACGTCACAGAGCATCCATTTCCCTTCCTTTGAGGGCCGAAGTTACTGAGCTGCAGTTGTATGTCTTCTCCTCCTCCTCATTATTATTATTATTATTATTATTATTATTATTATTATTATTATTATTATTATTATTATTATTATTATTATTTAACATTTTTGCCTGTGACTCCATGCAAATTCTATGGCTAACCTGAGAAAAGAACTCCTTTAATTTGTTTCTCATAGAGTAAAAAATTATGTTGACCAGCTCTTTGTTCTATGAAAGAATATGAAGTGGGACTCAACTGAGGTCAAACTGTAATGAACTTTCAGTTAGCCCCAAGGAGGAAGCCCCCATGAGCAAGGTTCTTAAATCCTGAAAAGAAGGGTTAAGGATTCCCTACTTCCTTTAAGTAGGTAGTTCTTGACTAGCTGCTCATTACAATCATTTTTAAACACACTTATGCCCAGGCTCTTGACCCAGAGACTCTGATTTGAGACGACAGAGCTGCCCAGTAGCTGGTAAATCTCAGTGCAATGGTTCTCAGCCTCGGCTGTGCTAGAACCGCCAAGTGAGCGATGAAAATACTGATCCTGGGTCTTAGCTCCCAGAATCTGCTTTAATTGGTCTTGGGTGTAACCTGGTCAGCAGGATGTCTAAAGTCTCCTCTGATGACACTAATGTGCATCCAAGGTTGACAGTCACTCTGAAAGCATGTATATCTCAGAGCCACAGCCACAGAAATTTTCCTCAGGGGAATTTTAACGGAGCCCAGGCATATTTATTTTTAACAAACACAGCAGGTGTTTGCATATATATGGTTGAAGTGGAAGCTAAAAAGTGGTCATCCTTAGAGATTTCTTCTACAGCATCCTCTTTGGATCATCTTGAGTTGGCAAGGATTTACCTATTGCATCAAATGGCTTCACCTGAGTTATGCTGGCTGAGTTGATCTTTTGAAAATTTTTTGATCAAACTGTTACCTTTTATGATTCTAACCAACCACTGACTTGGCTTCTCTGTAGCTAGCCAAAGCAAGTGCCCTTCCATTTTCATATCCCTTCATCTCCATATGAAAATCCTTGCAATGTGTGAAAACAGTGATCCTGCCTCCCTTAGCCTTCTCTTCTCCGGGCTAGACACACCCCAGTTCCTTTAGCCCCAGGGAACAGCTGACTGGCTGCCAGACTCCTCACTATTCCTTTAGAAACAAGGATGACAGTGAAACTATTACATTCTGCGGCCCAGATATTAAACCCCGGCTAATGTACCTAAAATAATAGAGATTCTACAGACTGCGCGATGAGATGGCATTATGATGTTAGGATCCCCCATGAACACAGTCCACCAGGTGACCTGCTGCACAGCTAACACTTGTACAGCATTACAGTTTACAAAGGACAGAGGTTTTCTCGCTTGCTCCCCCAAGGACGCTGTTGACTACATGATGTTATCATCCCTATTTTACTACAAATGTGATGAGGATCAGAAACATTCCAAGAGCTGGGGAAATTCTCAATAGTTGTAGTCAGAATGCTAACCGGGGATAATCTGATACGAAATCTCACGTCATTTCATTTTGCTTGCCAGATGATTGCAAAGGTAATTGGAAAAAGCACTACTGGCTTATTAACACACCCTGAAAATGAAGAATGGTTACTGTTGCTGACGATTGCATAGAAAATCTGAGAAATATTCTTTGTGAACCTTTGATTGACAGTAAGACCACTGAAATAGTCAGGTGAATCTGCTTCCTAAACATTTGAAATAAGAAGCCGTAAGTGGAGAGGGCAAGTTAACATTTTAGTTGGGACACTGCAACCCCAATTAGCCAAGGCAGTGAGCTGGATTTGGTGGAGTAACAACAGCCTCCCGCTCTTTCCTCTTGGCAGGTGCGCCTAGGAACCTGCACTACAGTGGTGTGAAGGAGCTCATCCTAGCGGTGGATGGGGTGGTGTCTGTGCACAGCTTGCACGTCTGGGCGCTAACAATGAACCAAGTGATTCTCTCAGCTCACGTTGCTGTCGGTCAGTGAGTTCCTACACACCCTGGACAAAATTCAGTCCTTGTCCTGTGGAGTCAGTAGTTTCTTCGTTTTTGTAGAGCAGCCCTTAGTGTCTGTTGCCTGTTGGAACAACTGTAAAGTGTCTTGTGTTACCAAGGGCCTTTGAAAACCTTCCTCCCCATCAATGTCATCATGGCAACAGTGACAGGGATGCCAGCCCTTGAGGAGGCTGACTGCACAGGGTTAGAGAGTAGAACAAAAGGCTCAAATGCCACCCAAACTTCAAGCAAGGCCTTAAACTCTGTTCTAGTGGGTGTCCTATCGTTTAAATAATAGGAATGAGGTTCACAAGAAATCTTCATTGAGGATCTTTGGTGTGTAAGATGCTCTGCCTCTTACCAAAGAGAGAAAGATGAAGGAGACACAGGTCCCATCCTTAAGGTTCTAAAAAGTTAAAACATGTACTAGTTGGAATTAATGGTGATTCCTTTACTGGATGGTTAAAAATTCTGTAACTATGTGAGATAACTCCTAGAATTTGGGATTTATTCTAAAAACTACTTTTTCAAGGAGAAGGTGATTTTGTTCATGATGCATCCCTGGGCCAAGAAAATGAGCACTGCCTCCGGAGATAGCTCAGGCCGAGGATGATACATGAGGCTGCTCAGAAACCACTGAGTTACTCAGAGGCCAGGTACAGGAAGGGCCATTTCAGGACTGCGCTTTCTCAGACATGCTGATCTTTGCTGGGAGGCTGGGATCTGGCTGCAGGGAATTTACAGCATCCGCTACACCAATATTTCACCACAAGTGGAAGAGCCTACTAAACAGTCAGGTTGCTATGGAGGGAAGTTTCCAGCCTCCTGATACCTTTTGGGGCAAGGGAAAAGACGGTAGTGAGGGTTGCTGCTCTCAGAAAGGTCTGTGGGGAGCTCTAACTGCTTCCCGGTTCCTGTCACTAGCCTTAATATAAATCCTGGTTAGATACAAGGGTGGCCACCCGGAGAACCCTGGCAACTGGTGAGCAGGGCTGCATGAGAAATCATTATTCTGTTACAGCTTTTTCCATGACTTATCTTACCTTCCATCCTCAGCTCCTAGGAGTGCTGGGCCCCAGAGAGGACTGTGGGCAGGAGTTCCAATGGTGATGCAATGCTCCTCTGCACTAGAATGTCCCCCGCCTTGTCTGTGTGAATGGTTGTCAGAGCCCACGTGGCTCCTTCTGAGTGCTCAGCCTGTGCCCCAGCCCACCAGGTCAAAGGCAAAGTACTTGAAGCTGAGATCAGCAGTCGCCCCTGTGTGTGTGCAATCAGTGCCCATCTCACTCTGGTTCTTTATCAACAGCAGCCAGCCGGGATGGCCAGGTTGTTCGGAGAGAAATTGCTCAAGCCCTCAGCGGTAGCTTCCCTGTGCACTCACTCACCATTCAGATGGAATCTCCAGCCGACCAGGACCCAGACTGCCCTTTCTGTGAAGACCCCCGGGACTAGCTCAGTCACACCGTCAGCTCCCCAATTTCAACAGGCGACTCCGTGCTGCTCCGCAGTGTCTAAGAAACCAAAGAGAGAAGTCTGAGAAATTCATGATGCAGTACAATGCACATTATATCCTTCTTTATTTAGCTCCATCCACCATGAATGAAAATGCACTCAGATTCATCAGTCAATTGGATTATCAACCCATCAGTAGCTGTGCTCAGTAACAGAAATGTGTACATAGATGATTCTTGACTGGGGCTGAAATATCAGCTGTTTGTAACTGCAGGTAATAAAGCCTCAATAACACATCTCCATGATGAGCGTGCAAAGGGGAACTCAGGAAAGTCTTACCAGGAATCAGTGGCAAGGAAAGAGTCATAAAACTTTTTGTAGAACACAAAAAGCAAAAAAAAAAAAAAAAGGAGAGTCAAGACAGGGGTAAAGGGGAATTTGGGGCTTAATACTCCATTACAACATGTCCTTCCCACGATGCTGTCACAATTTGAGGTAGTATCTTTCAACTCCCTGTCAACATCACTAGTCACTAAATGGGAGAGAAGTCCCTCTCCTCATCTTGCTTGTACATTATGTTGTGATACGTCTGAAATGACTGAATTACATTTTACTTCTCTCTATAAAGGCCTGTACAAATGAAAAATTATAAAGCTGCTGCTATTTGAGTGTTTTCATATGGTGCAGCCTAATAATACAAGAAAACAAAGAGGCACAGAGAGGCAGAGTATTTACCCCAAGTTACATGGAAAATAATTTAGTCCAAGAATTAAGAAGAAGAGTCTAAGAATTTAGTCCCAGGTCTTGAATGCTTATGGAGCACCAACACTTGTTCAAGTATTACACTGGGCTATTTAGATATGTCCCCTCATTTCATTCTAATGATAACTTTGAAAGGTTGGAATTAATATCATCATAGAATAGATAAGGGCATAAGGCTGATGGAGGTTAAGCAACTTAACTAATGTCATTCATTCATTCATTTAGAAATATTTTTCAATGCAGGCTATGGGCTGAGCATTGGTAAACCAAGGTGACATGGCCTTTGCCTTCATGGAGCTCTTTCCCTTTGGTGGGAGACGGGCACTATACTAATAAACACCACCACGAATGTACTGCAAATAGCAGCAGAAGGAAGAGAGGCTGATTTAGATTGGGGGAGGTCAACAGAGAGTCTCTCTGAAGAAATGGCATCCAAGTTGAGACCTGAACAAAATGGTAGGTGGTAGCCAAACACACTGTGGAAAGATGCACATTCTAGAAGAAGCAGGAGAATGAATGGGCACCTTGAGGAAAGAACTGGGTGCGTCTGAGGAACTGAGGAAGGTCCTTGGAGCTGGAGGGTACTAACTGAAGGGGGAGTTAAGGAATATGCAGGACATGAAGCAGGAGAAACCAGCAAATCCAAGTTAGAAAGTAGCTGAAACCCAGAACTATTTTGTCCAAAATCCCATCTATGCTTTCTGTTTGAACAGTTCCGTTTTTTTTTTTTTTGGCTCTTTCTTTTTGACCAAATAATCTGCACTGACAATCAGCCATTATTTCCGAGGTGCATGCAACCAAAACAGGTCTACGTTCCTCAAAAGACTGGGATGAATAACTTGCTGAGTTTAGAAGTAAAGGACTGACCGTGCTTCGGTAGTGGCGCCTGTCTAAGGTGGCACTGACCTTGTACCGTCTACACAGGAGTCTGCCTAAAGAAAGAGGAAACCTAAACTAACTGAAGTGGTTGTGGGCTGACCTGCCAAAACACTGTGCCCCCAGAGACCCTGAGTTATGCCAGTGACAATGGGGATATGAAAGGGAGATGAGTGTGACAGGGTGGAAATAGGGGACTCTGCAGTGGAGGAATGGCCGTGAGCAGGAATTAGAAACCAGGCTGTGCATCCCTTTCTGCTCCCTTTCAGATCTGTGACCTCTAGCTGGTCCTCAATTTCTCTGAGCTTTAGATTCCTCATCTGCAAACAGGGATTATATTTTCATCAAAGGGTTTCTGTTGGAATTACATGGGATAACAAATGTAAATGACAAGGTTTTTGTGTGGTAAAAAGTGAGTACTCAATAGATATACTTTCCAATCCAGGGTTTCTGAACCTTGGCATTATTGACACTTTGGGCTGGATGACTCTTTGTGGTGGAGGAATTATTCCAACACAGTAACAGAATTTTGTTCCGGTGTATCATAGGATGTTTAACTCCAGGCTGGCCCAGCCCTGGGCTCGACCCACCAGCTCCCATTAGCACTCTCCACTCCCAGTTGTAACACACACACACACACACACACACACACGCACGCACACACACTTATAGGTTAAATGGGGAAAATGGCAGTTGATTGGGGCATGGAAGTCTTGGCACTCAAGATGGCTGTCTTTGGACAAGAAGCCAATGGGATAAGAGGAAATAACTTGAGGTCACGATGCCAGATTCACTTCTGTTCACTTTCCAAATCCTCCAACAAGGGGGCAGGAGTATTTAATATGGTTTGTCTGAGACTAGAACCTTCTTTGGACTGTGGTTTACTCCTAGGCATGGTCACTGTGTCTTATAGCCAGGGACACATGATCTCATTTTTTCTCTTCTTGCCTCCTTGGTAAATAAGCCTGGGCAAGAATGTGTCTCCTTGATCCAGGCCAGGCACAGTTCTTTCCTTCTCTTTTCCAAGTTCCCTGAGCAGAGAACTGAGTGAATAAGTTAGACCACGGTCTTCCATGTGGATCCAGTCATCCGTCTCTCCCTCCCACTCCCACTTTACACAGGGAGAATTGAACGTACTGGTTTCAAGATTTATGTTTAAATAGTAGAAAGGAAATGGAAGGCTCACTTCAGCCTTCAGCAGAAACAGTGTGTTCTAAACCAGGAAATGTTTCACTGGGTTATTGGATCCTGACTCAGATATTAAGGATGTGGTATTTTTGACTTGAATTCTGCTATTACTTTTTGTATGTCTCTCATCTGTGGAAAATGAAATAAATTAAAGGTATGAAGGCTTTAGTGGGTCTGGTTTGGAACCTGAACTTCTGTATTTCTTAACACACCGAGAGATGATTCTAAAGAGCAGCCAGAGTCTAGAAGAATCTCCATCAAAGGCGGTCACTAAGTGGGAGGTTCAGACCCCCAGATATCTACAATTATGTCTTAAATGGTAACCATGGGGATGGCGTATGAAGGGAGCACAGAGAAAGATGAGGACCACAGTGTGGGCATGGCCACTAAGGCTTCATGTCATTGAGCTGACCGCCAGGCTGGACGCGGAGTTACCTGTGGAGGTTCTCCAGGCAGATGAACGGAAGGGCAGCCCAGGCAGAGGGAAGACTGCGTGTAAGTCGTGCTGGTTTTTATCTGCTGGTTTGTAATTTGAAAAGCAGAGTATAGGTGGCAAAGAGAAAGTTCAACTCCGTGATGTTTAAAACGATGTAATTTTTGCTACTTGATCATTATGAGTATCAAGGAGAACAGGAGCTCTGTCCTGGATGATTTTTATGTCATTGTCAGCATCCAGGAGGGTGCTGGAAACCCAGCAGCCATTAATAATTGCTGAGGCAATGACTCTGGGGCCATATGTGGGCCTTAGCATCATTTTTCATTCACATTTGTATTTTTCTGAAATTTCGAGGGCCAAGAAAACATTGACTTTGACTGAGGAGGTCACATCTGTGCCATCTCTGCAAATGAGCCGGCACCGCTGATACAGCTACTCAGCATTCTGCGGGCGGCTTGCCCTGCCTGGTGGAGACACACAGATATGTCCCCTACCTCAGAAGGCACGTTTAGCGACCAGAATTAGAGCCACTCAGGCTCCCGGTGTCTCTTGCCTCAGCTGGCTCTCGGAACGGATGGTTCATGCCAACTCATTTCTCCTGTCTCAAGGGCCACTGAATGGTTCCGCTTTCCTATATTTTGTGCAGGACAGAGCTCTTCAGACCAGATGACCTGGCAGACACAAGTTCCAGCATCACTGTCTGCTCTGTTTTGTTTTTGAAATCACGTTAATCTTTGATTTTATGTCAGAAACACATTGAAGGCTGGGTCATCGTTAGGCAGAGGGATTTGTATGTCAACCAAAGCGACTGCCGCAGGGCTCCCGGTCGTTTCTGCTGTTTCACTGAAATTCTGCTTCTTTAGTCGACTAGATGGAAAAGTCGGGATGGTAGATGTTTTTGTGTAAAAGTCAATACAATCTGAAAGGGGGTTTTAAGGATCTGAGATGAAAGAGCAGCTGCCACCACGAGACTTCATGCACCAGGCATCAGTGTGGAAGGTCTGCTTCTCTTCTGCCCCCTCCTTGGCATGGTCAGAAAGAACTCCAGGCCATTGAAGTTACTGGCATAGTGTAGTAGAATTCTTTACTTTGTGGCATTTGAAACATTACTTCTCTGGCTATTGAAACATTAATGCTGTTTCATCCCTTTCAAAGCCACATGCTTTATTCTTCAGAATACTAAAGTCAGGCCAACTCTGCTATCGTGCTCCATCCTTAATATGCTTCTCTGTCATCCAGCATGTGGTCAAGATTTATCTAGGGCTCTATGGTGATGTTAGGGCCCATAGAAGAAATTTATGTGCTCCATATGTTTGGTTACAGATGGGAAATGGGAATGTTGAAGGGCAGGACAGGAGGAATGCTTACAACTCTGAACATCAGTTCTGCTGACTGCCTGAGTATGAGTCTTAGTTCTTCCCTTTATTAGCTCTGTGACCTCGAGCTAGTTTCTTAAATGCTGTGTCCCTGTTTCCTGATGAGTAAAACCTCCCTACTCAGATGCAGGAGAATTTAATACATGAAGAAACTTAAAGAGGTTGGACCTGTGCAGAGCATGAAGTTAGCACTCAGTAAATATTAACGGCAATTTATTGCTATGCACAAAGTGAGCATGTACATGTATGTGCACAGAGATTTGTATCTTGCCAACTTTGAAAAGGTTTAGAGTCATCCACACACTCCCCCAAGAGAGTGGCAAATTATTGGTGAGAATTAAAGGGCCCTTCCTCTCACATGGGACAACTGAGACTTGCTGAGATAAAGATATTTATCAGAGAGAGCTTTACCTAGTAAGTGAGTCCCGGATTCATTAAAATAAGTCCCTTTCTGACATGCTCTCAAAACTTCTATTTTTACCTTTGAAGTAAAAGCTGAATGAGTCACTCACGGTGTCTTTATTTGCAAAGTCTAACTGTCCAGTTCAATGAAGGCAGAGTCACAGACCTCCCAGACCTCTGACCCTGTTCCTGTGAAATATCGCTTCCTTGGTTTCCTGGCTTCTCTTTCTCTCATGTAGCTGCAACTTGCTCTAACCAGGTCCTTTTTTTTTTTTTTCTGCTGGTCTCTAAATTGTCATTGGCATATTCGGATAATTCAATTTATTTGTTAAATTCTGTAAGCCAACAAAGGCCTTGAGCACTCTGGTA